AAAAAAAAAAAAAAAAAAAAAAAAAATCTTGAATTGGACGCTGGGCCCACGTGTTGCTCCTCACCAATCCCCCTTAAAAAAAAAAAAAAGAAACTAAAAACGGGACGCTGGACCCGTTTTCAAGCAGGTGACGCTCCCCAGAGTCCCCACCAATAGATGGAGCCTATCCCCGGGTGCTAACGGTGGCTGCTTTTACCAGCACCACTAGCACTGGAGGGAGTTTTTGTCAAAAAAAAAAAAAAAAAAAAAGGTTGCGGCTTCCTGGATTTTGGGTCCTCTTCGACTGCTCCAGTCACACTCCGCGCATTTCCTGGGAATATCTTCATCTTCAAATTTCTTTCCATTCCCGCAGGTTGTTTCTAAAGAAGAAATTTGCGGTAACCTAACCTCCCGAGGTTACCGCAAATTCCAACCCCCGCGGCCCCTCAGGGCGCTGACAAATGGGGTCCTTATGAGTAGTTTGGGGAAATGAGATCCTGGTGTGACTATGCCTCGACACTATTTTTTCAGGTTTTTGGGGATTATGCCGATTTGGTACCGCAGTGTGAGGGTGCCCTGAAAGTAAACCAAAAAGGTTTTTGCATGGGCCGTATCTATCAATTTTCCCGGGGGTTTCGTTCAACATGGAAGAAAGCCTCYTGGGGGTTTCCTTCAATATGAAAGAAAGCCAGGCAACAAAGGGTTCTAAGGGCCTGATCTCACAGTGTCACTGCTTACGGTAAGGAAAAAGTGCGGTTTTCTCGGATCACATCTGTTTCTGCGCGTGTAGGAGGCTCCGCCAGTGATGGAGGCAAGTGGGAACGTTTGCCGCCATATCATCTCGAGAGGGACTGGGAGGGACCGGCGGCAAAAAAAGATTGTGGCCTCTTGGGAAAGAAGCCGACCGGTACCCTCTTCCCAAAAAGTAGTAGTTTTTTCATTTTGCCCTTCTTCCTCGACGGCCATAGGCCACCCAAGGAACTTCCTGCTCAGTTGGTAAGGCACGCAAGTGGCATTCAGGAGGTCTTGGGTTCAATCTCCTTGGGCCTTATGCACCTTCCTGGGCATGCTTGGCACCCACCACCTAGAGATAGCCTGGTGGTCCCCCCAATTGGCATTAAGAACAGTCTCTTGATGTTCATAGGGGGCGGCCTCCGAAGTGGTGCGGGTTTCGTGCTGACCCCCCCCCCATTTGGGGGTTTCCTGAAGGCAATATATAGAGGTCACCCTGGGCTGAAAAGGCCACCCTGTGTCAGATTAGACACAAGATTGAATTTACCGGGGCTGGTTAGTCAGAGGCCCTTTAAAAAAAAAAAAAAAAGAAAGAACTTCCCACAGTGGCCCTCGCTCCTGGCCTACGGGGGGCCATGTGCCACTAGCTTATGTTTTGTGTATTTTTCAACGTGGTGGCCATGAAATTTCAGATGGGATGGCAGGGAGTCATGCATACTCGCCTCATCTCTTCGTGCAAAAGCATAAACGAAACCAGAAGTAAACGTCTACCTTTTCCCGGAAAAAAAAGACAAAACAAAGGACTGGTACAGCCTTGCCCTCGCACCACAGCTGTGGTGCCAACCTACCCCGTGGGCTGGGGAGGGATCCGGGTTGGTTGGTGTTCCCCCATACTATATATAGAATAGTGAGAGGATGAGATAGATGCGTACTATCAAGAAAAATGAGATAGATGAGAGAAGAATATAGCTTACCTTTAAAAAAGAAAAAGAAAAAAAGAAGTAAACGTCGACAAGTGGGGCATGGCCCAGGGAAACGTTGGGATCCCCTTTCTCTTTTTCGGCCCGTCCGCTGCGCCGCCTTCTTTTTCCTTTCTTTTACGGTTTTGCTTATCGTAAGCAGTGTCGGATCCCTGACTGGGTAGTTTTTTTTCTTTCTTTTATTATGACTGGGTAGTTTGTTTTAACTCTCCCAACCATGGCTGGCAGGTGTGCATGTGAAAAGGGACGCTGGGCCATATTCCCAGCACGTGATTCTCCCCACAAGTAGATTGGAGAGTGTGTGTGCTTTCCCGGGAGTCTCCTTCGACATGGAAGAAAGCCAGGCAACGAAGGGCTATAAATAAATCTACTCCTCACTCTCTACTCTGTAGACATGTATGTATGAGCGTACGAGTGGGCACTACGAGTGTTGCGGCCGCACTCTCGCATCTCTCTCTCTCTCTATGGGCACCCTCCTAGGTGCTTGAGACGGCATCCGAGATCGCTTAGTTGGCTGAGTCCTGTGAGTCTTTCTCCATCGACCGGCCAGTTGTCGTAYAACTGACCAATTGTAGCGACTGACTGATGGAGCTGACAGCGGATTGCTGGTAGCAGCTGATCGAGTAAAGAGTACTTGGGACTGGTGRTAAGCGTGGCAGACTCTCGACGTAAGTGTGTCGTCTTCAACAGGAAGACATAGATATCTAGATAGATAGATATCTAGATAGGTAGATAGATATATAGATAGAAGGAGAGAGGGACTTGGGTGTGAAGGGTGAGGGGAGAGAAGGAGATGGCGGGAGCATTGTCCGCGACGACGTTTCCTGCTGCTGCCAGGTCAGCAGGAGTTGCAGCGGCAGGACCTCTATCCTCTCACCGGAGGGCTGACGTGGCAGCAGCCCAAGAGCGAGGAGTTCTGGGCGGTGGACATCATGGCCGTCTCTTCTCCATGCTTGACAGCTCGTTGTCTTCCCCACACACAGGTCTTCTTACACGCCATCTTTCCTGCGGCGATGGCGACGGCAAGCTCTTCTTCCACGGGGGGCAGCGGCTGGTCGCCGACCGTGCTGCATGTACCGCCGCACACGTGGCAAGATCTCATCGCCGCGCGGCAAGAGCAGAGGCGTCCGTCTCCACTCCTTCTGTGTCCGACCCCTACGCGCCGTACGCGGTAGCAGCAGGAGCTGCGGTCGGCACCAAGAAAGCCAAGATCAGCATCACCATGGGAGATAACATGAACGACGGAATGCTGGGCAAGGCGAGGATCGTGATCGTCGGGGACGGCAAGGAAGTCCCAGATGGTCCCCGGGCCCCGGCGCGTCCCGAGGAGAACGCTTCCACCTCTGAAGATGACGGGTATGACCTCGGATTCGCACTGTGGAGGAACGGCAAGACGGTGTCCGTGACCATCGATGATCTGCCCAAGAACGTTAATCCGGCCGTGGTTCTTCTCTACAACGATTCAAGCCACGGCAAGTGGTTTGTGAAGAAGGTGGAGATCGAGACGGAGGCATACACGAGCGATGGCGGCGGGGACAACGGCAAGACGAAGAAGTACGTGTTCCCCTGTTTCTCCTTCGTCCCAACGGGGGACAATGCGCGCATCATCTTCGAGGGCAGGTCACAGCTGCCATGGCAGACCCCGCAGAGGTTGTCCAACCTCTATCGCGAGGGAGCGCTCGATCAGCAATTCGCAGTGTACAAGTTCGACGAGTACAACGACCTGAGCAAGCCGGCCGACCTTGCAGACCGCGGCAGTCCCAACTTCCGCCCGCGGCTGCGCCCCTATCCGAAGCGCCAGGCGACCGCGGTCTCCGGAACGAGCGTGGGAATCCCGCGCGACGACAACTTCGACCTCTCCAAGATCACCGACTTCCTCACCGGCGCAGCGAAGGCGCAAGCCCAGGCGCTTCTCGCGGACCCTGTCCAGCTGGCTTCCAACCGTCCATGGAAGACCGTGAACGGGCTGATCTCGGGGCTCTTCGAGGGAGTGGGGGCGCTGAGGAAGCCTGCTATCTTGAAACACGGGCTGGACTGGAAGTCGGACAAGGAGTTTGGCCGGCAGACGCTTGCCGGACTCAACCCCATGGAGATCACACTGGTGAAGGAGCTGCCTGCAGGTTTCGTAATCTCCGACGACGACCTGACTGGCGCGCTTCCTGCCGGGCTCACGCTCGCCGACGCCGTCAGCGCTAACCGTGTGTTCATCCTCGACTACTCCATCTTGGAGGCCATCCGGCCGATCGTGAACCGCCCTCCGCCGGCGGGCAAGGAGTGGAACAGGTACCTGTACGCTCCCCGATGTCTGCTCTTCCGCGACGACAACGGCGATGTGATCCCCATGGCCATCCAGCTAGAGGCTGGCGGGAAGGTGTACACGTCAGCCAAGGACACGGGCGTCGGCAAGTGGCAGTGGACGCTGGCCAAGGCCTACGTGGCGTCCGCCGACAGCAGCGTTCACCAAGTGGCCAGGCACTTTCTCCAAACGCACGCCGTCTGCGAGGTCTATCTCATTGCTCTTCGCCGGCGGCTGTCGGAGCTGCATCCCCTGTTCAAGCTGCTCATCCCCCACTTCCGCTTCACCCTCAGCATCAACTACCGAGCTCGCACCGGTCTGATCAACGCGGAGGGGATCATAGAGGACATCTTCTCCGGCGGGTCGCAGTCCATGGCCGCCTCGGCGGAGGTCTTCAAGACTTGGAAGTTCGAAGACCAGGCTCTGCCGAACAACCTGGAGAAGAGAGGGGTGGCTGACGTCAACGTCCTCCCTTACTACCCCTACCGCGATGTGGGGACGAAGATATGGGACGCCATGCACAAGTACGTGCTGACGTATCTCAGGATCTACTACGGGGAGACGGAGGCCTCGAGGGAGTTTATCGTGAAGGACAAGGAGCTGGTTGCATGGTGGACCGACGTGAAGTTCGGCAACTCCAAGTTCGAGTACTCCTTCAGTGAGGTGGAGGAATGGCCAAAGCTTGAGACAGTAGAGGATCTGGCGTTCATCTGCACGACGATCATGTGGACCGCAAGTGCCCAGCACGCTGCGGTTAACTTCTGCCAGTACGACTACTACGCCTTCACTCCCAACCATCCGGCTGCAACGCGCAGACCCATGCCAGACAAGGTGGACGAGAAGACGTTCATGGAGGTCATGCCGCTTCCTCGTGACCAGGTCACCGCCATCTCCGTCGTCGACCTGCTATCGGCTTTCTCGGACGACGAAGAGTATATTGGGAGAAAGGATCAGACGGCGTACGGTTGGCTTGTCGATCCTGCGGCCAAGGAGGCATATGAGCAGTTCTGCAACGACCTGGACTACGTCGAGAAAGAGGTCCAGGCGTACAACGAGCTCAACAAGACAAAAGGCCGGCTGCCGTACAAGTACTTGTTCCCCCGTACCAATCGTAACGATAAGGACAACAGCTCCGTCACTCCCAACGGTACCGAAGGCATTCCCAACAGCGTGTCCATCTAGAGAGAGAGAGAGAGAGAGAGAGAGAGAGAGAGAGAGAGAGAGAGAGAGAGAGAGAGAGAGCTTCTTTCATCCTATCTCTTCTCACGCAATCCCTCTCTCCAAAGCGCTCTTCCTTTGAATCTCTCTCAGCCGTCATTCTCTGCTTTATCTTGGTTGGGTGATATTCCTTCTTCTCGGTCCATTGCTCGTTGACGGAGATCGAAACGAGTGTCCTTCTTCTCGGTCCATTGCTCGTTGACGGAGATCGAAACGAGTGTCTACTCCGAGAGAGAGAGAGAGAGAGAGAGAGAGAGAGAGAGAGAGAGAGAGAGAGAGAGAGAGAGAGAGAGAGAGAGAGAGAGAGAGAG